GGGGGGGGGGGGGGGGACTCTTCCTTTGGTGATATATGCAGCAAATACTTAATATCTTAGTTAGATGATTTCTTCTGTTGATGTAATTAATTATCCTTGTGCTATAGACAGAAATCAATTACCTGGGGCAGCTGCATCATCCTAATCTTGTGAGACTGATTGGTTACTGCTTAGAGGATGATCAACGGCTTTTGGTGTATGAGTTTTTGACCAAGGGAAGTTTAGATAATCATTTATTTAGGAGTAAGTTATTGATTTCCCTCTTTGCTTATTCAGCGTGACATTGTTTAGTTCCTTAAACACCTCAAAATCTCAATAATGTATTCTTTTTGGAACAGGAGCTCCTTACTTTCAACCACTTTCTTGGAACATCCGAATGAAGGTTGCTCTTGATGCTGCTAAGGGTCTTGCATATCTTCATAGCGATGAAGCAAAAGTGATATATCGAGACTTCAAAGCTTCTAATATCTTGCTTGACTCAGTAAGATAAATTAAATCTCTTTGATCTTATATTTTATCAGACATACAAGCTTTTCTAACATTCCTTTTTGTTGGTGACAGAATTACAATGCAAAACTTTCTGATTTTGGCTTGGCAAAGGATGGACCTGCAGGTGATAAGAGTCATGTCTCTACAAGGGTAATGGGAACATATGGCTATGCTGCTCCTGAATATATGGCCACAGGTACCTATGTTTGCTGAGTACTCAGTTTATGAACACTTTAATTGCTCGTACCAAACATCTTTAGTTCTTTTACATATAATATAATTCTGTCATCTTAATTATCGTGCCCCAACCATATCATAACAAAGCACAAATCTTAAATCGAAAGAGAGAATTGATGTTATAAAGATAAACACAATAAAATATAATTTATCTATTGATATTCTCATCTCTAGATTAATATATAGCTGTTCATAACTTGAAGTAAAAAAGAAATTATATAATGCAGTTTTCAGTTAGAAGCATTCAAAGTGTTTATAAAGTGTGTAACGAATATGGGTATGACATGAACATGATTATTTTTTACCCAGTGTTTTGAAATATCAGAGTTGACCCCCAATTCTTGTCATTTTGAAAAACTCAATGCATTTAGAAGCATTGGAAGTGTCCATAAAGTGTCTGACATGAGTATGCCATGAACACAATTATTATTTCGAAGTATTCAAAGTGTTTTGAAGTATCAGAGTTGACTCCTAGTTCCTGTCATTTTGAAGTATTCAAAATGCTGCTAGAATTATTTTCAGTGTCCATAAAGTGTCTGACAAATATGTCTCTTACATCAGTGTGACATGAACATGGTTTTTGAACTTTGAAATCTCTATGCTACATGTGTGCAGTCATTTGCATGGGAATGATTTGGATAATTTTTTCAATAAATACTAATAAAAATAGAAAATAAGATAGTAAAATGAATTATGTTTCTCTTGTAGGTAAAATTAGCGTTCGCACAAGTTAATTTATAAGAAAATTCTCATTTACTTTTTCCAAAAGCTGATTTAACTACACATAAGCTAATTTTAATTTATGAAAAAACTCTTATTCATGTTAACTTACTACTTTCTTCTCCTATAAGTGCTTATTAAGAAATTTATTCAAACAGGATCAATTTGTGTGCTGTGTTGCCAATCTTCATTTCATAAGGTCTTTAAGTCACCTGAATAAAACAGCTGCTAAATCAAGCAATATATTTGAAGTCTGTTTAAGTGATAGCTTTGACTCCTATTTGTTGTTTTGTTTTGTGAAGGCCACTTGACCAAGAAGAGTGATGTATACAGTTTTGGGGTTGTTCTGCTTGAAATCATGTCTGGCAAACGTGCACTTGACAACAACAGGCCAAGTGGGGAGCACAACTTGATTGAATGGGCCAAACCTTACATCAGCAGCAAACGCAGGATCTTCCAAGTCATGGATGCTCGCATTGAAGGCCAATACACATTGCGCCAAGCTATGAAAGTAGCCAACCTTGCCATTCAATGCCTCTCTGTGGAGCCAAGATTTAGACCAAAAATGGATGAAGTGGTGAGAGCATTGGAAGGACTTCAGGATTCTGATGACAAAGCTGGAGGGGTGGAAAGCTCTCGAGATCAAACTGTCAAAAGGAATGGCCATAGCTCTAGCAGCAATGGCCCTAGACAACAACATAGAGGTAAACAACATGAAACAAGATTTCACAAGTGAAACTTAAGAAGTGAATGTTGATTTCGTGTTGTGGCCTTCTGATTTTGCTCGAGTTGCTACATTGTATGTATGTATATCATGATGAACTTAAGAAATGTCTTAAGATGTCTGATTGCTGTACAGATGTTGATTCAGTGTTAATATTGAAATTTTCATTTCTTCCAATTTTCTCTTCCTCCTCCACATATCAATATCATTAAGAGTTTAAAATTTATATACATTACATATAGGATGATTTCGTGTCAACTCATATTTAATATCAGCTTAAGTTTTCATTTGAAGTAAAATAATAATTAATTTAAGCAATATTATACTGTATCTTAATTCTTTAAGATGTCTTTATGCTTGGAAGGTAATGTTTTATCTAGTAAAAAAATGGAATTAGCAACATACAATTAATTTGAGAAGCCAAGGCTAGTTCTCACGTAATCAACAATATGATCAAATTTTGAAAGTAGTGCCTGATCCTTTCCTTTCTCTTCTCTAAATACCCTCTGATCTAACCAAGTTCCATCCCCTCAATCAGCACCCTGTACCCCTGCATTAGACACTAAACCCGAAATAGCAAAGACATAAGTTAAAATGTAACATCTGTCCGAAGATTCGAAAGTTTCCGATTAATCATATTCTGTTGAAAATTTTAAATTAAAATTTCCGTTGCAATTCTATAGGTAATATTTATCGAAAAATTTAGAATAATTGAAATATATATATATATATATATATATATTATTATTTTTTGACTGCAAAACCAAGAATTCCATTTATTAATTAAGGGTGGCCTGGTAGTAATCCAGACTCACTTGAGTAGCAATACATTCTGGGGTCTCTTCCACCCAAATACAATCTGGGTTTTCGAGAGCAAATTTAGCTAGGTGATGGGCTGCAAAATTACCAGCTCTTATTACATGACAGAATGTAAGGGAAAGGAATTCTTGTGCAAAGGATAAACAACCAGCTACTAACAAATTAAAATATGATGCCCATATCCAAGGCAAATTGGAGACCAAGGCACAGACCCAAAGCTTCAGCAACTCTCACTTCGGCTCCACATTGTTTCTGCCACGAAGCAGCTCCAAGAACAAAACCTTCATGATCCCTCACTACCACTCCTACTCCCCAATTTGCACCATCTTTGAAAGCTAAGTCAGTATTTAATTTGAAAACACCGTCAGGGGGGGCTATCCAAAAACGTACAGGTGCAACACTAGGCTGAATGTGCAGAGGGTGCAATTTACTATTAGCTTGTTGGAATTGAGATAAAACCTTCATGGCTGATTCAATCACTATCTGCATTGGAATGTCCTGGTCTTCAAAAATCAGTTTGTTCCTGCTGTGCCAGAGACTATACACCAAGGAAGCAAATATAATGACATCCCCTTGAGTGTGTTTGTCCAGCATCGTGTCTAAAAGTTCATGGAGTGGAAACTGGTCACGTTGAGGCAACAGTATTGTTTTTAATGGAGATATACTCCAAAATCTCTTAGCCCAGGTGCAAGAGAAAAATGCATGGTCAATGGTTTCCTCAGCTTCCCCACACCTGGGGCAAGTTGGATCAATTTGCAATCCTTTTCTAATCAGCAGAGACCACACCGGGGCACAATCTTTCTTCAATCTCCATAGTAAATGCTTGTGTCTAGGAGGACTTGAAATTTGCCACAACTTTCTCCATATTCGCTTATCATTTTAGAAACACCCGCATGAGAGGAGCCATATGGCTCAAGGTTGTTATTTATAAAATGATAGCTTGTTCGGACTAGGGGTGGACAAAAAAAACTGAACTGAAATGAACTGGTGGTGAACTGAACTTAACTGTACTATAAAAAATTGAACTATTTGTAAAAAAACTGAACTGAACTGAACTGAACTGTTGAAAAGTTAATTGTACTGAACTATAAAACTGAACTGAATTATAAAAATTGAACTATTTTTATAAAAGGATAAAAATTAAATGTGTCTAACATGTTATGTCTTAATAGAATAACTTGATAGTCTAATAACCAAAACTTTAGAAAAAAAAAGTGATAAAAAAAATTATATCAATTTTATCGAACCTAACGGATCAATTGAGCTATGTTGGACTACTTATTTTTAGGCTTCAAATTCACTGAGTTTGTTTGACTTAATTATATATTTTTCTTTGAAAAATTTAAATAAAATGGAAAATAAAGTAAAGTTGGCAAATGTGTCTGATGGGTTATGTTATGATAGTTGCTTGAGAGGATATTTTATGAGTGTTATTTTTATAATTTTATTACACAAACATACTCCACAATGATGAGATATTGTCCGCTTTGGGCCTTAGCCCTCACGGTTTTGCTTTTGGTCATCACCCAAAAGGCCTCTCAATCATTGAATGTTTGTATTATATAAGTTATTATTATTTGTCATATTTTATCGATGTGGGACTTGTTTGTATCTCAACAATCCTCCTCTCAAACAAGGGACCTAACCTTTCATGCAGCGGAATCTGTCTTTATATAGCACATTATATTTTATGAGTTATTTATGGGGGTTATTGGTTGTCACCGAATTCAACCTGCGGCTCTGATACCACTGGTGGGGGTTATTTTATGGTATTTGTCTGAGAGGATATTTTATGAGTTATTTTTATAAGGTTATTACACAAACATACTCCACAATGATGAGATATTGTCCGCTTTGGGCCTTAGCCCTCACGGTTTTGCTTTTGGTCATCACCCAAAAGGCCTCTCAATCATTGAAGTATGTTTGTATTATATAAGTTATTATTATTTGTCATATTTTATCGATGTTGGACTTGTTTGTATCCCAACAGTGTCCTATTTTGATAAATCAATGAGTCAAAATTGTTCAATTCAAAATATCATAACAGTTCAGTGCATTTTAAATTGCAGTTCAGTTTAAGTTTTTATAGTATAGTTAAGTTTAGTTCAATGACACAAAAAAATAGTTCAGTTCAGTTCTTCTGAACTAATATTTAAGTTCAGTTAAGTTCATGAGAACTACTTTTAAGTTCAGTATAGTTTTTATAAGTTCAGTTCAGTTCATTTTGCCCACCTCTAGTTCAGACCGAATACTCCCCATGTTTTGTACCTTCCCAGCATAACCTATCCGGCCTGGATCTCCTGGATAGAGGGATTGCTAGAATCTGGTCAGTTTCACAGTCAAGAAACAAACTCCTTAAAGTGTCCAAATCCCATCTTCTTGTAACCGGGTCTATCAATGAGGACAAAACAAAAGGAAATACTCTGGGCGGTTAGGTGCTGGAGACCAGATATGAAGTCCTGGTTGGTGACGAAGCCAACCATTCCTCCAAACATTAACATTGTGATCATTTCCAATATATATTTGTTGGGAATAATTTGTCGATAACATTTTTTTATCTACAAATTTTATATTTGTCAATACTTCGAAACTTTTCATTAGAATTGAATCTGTCGACAAGTATTTGTCATAATTTGCATTTTTCTCATAACTAGATATTCAATTTGAAATTGAGTTGACAAAGTTGGTTTCATCAAATTAGCATTAAAAGAATGTGTGCTAAGCAAACTATTGAAATACAACTATCAAGTCCTATACAGATTTTTTTTATTTGTCAATAATAGAGATTTTGAACTTTATAATTAAAATTAAAATCCTAAACCTAAACACTAAAAACCCTAAAATCCATAAACCATACACCATAAACCCTAAATCCTAAACCATAAACCCTAAATCCTAAACCATAAACCGTAAACCCTAAAAATCCTAAACCCTAAACCCCTAAAAACCATAAATCATAAATCCTAAACCCTAAACCATAACCATAAACCCTAAGCCCTAAAAACCATAAACCCTAAACTCTAAATCCTAAACCTGTCCCCACCTCCATCTCTGATTTTACCAATCGAAGAAAACCTGAACCCGAACCCAACCCGATCAACATAGATTTTTCTCGTCCAAATCGGGGCGGGTTCGGACGGATACCCACGAAGCCAGATTAGAATGCCATGCCTATTTCACATTAGCCTCGTGTAAAAAACTAACATTTTTGGTGAACCTAACCAAAAAAGATAATAGGGTAACCTTATTATTGATCATGGTAATAGCAAAAATATTAGGGACAAACAATCTCAGCATTATTCCAATGACATCCATTTTGGCCCCTCTACTTGCATATACAACTCGTTCCAAAAGTACAATCCAAAAATTGGGATCATGGATGGGCAACATATTGTTATGAAATAATTGAATAAGATGCTAACAATTCTTAAGTCTCTGCTAAATTTAGACACTGCTGCTACCAAGGAAAATAAGATTTCACGCAAGTTCTATCACAAGAAGAAACATTTAATGCAAGAACTCAAGCATTAAATGAGAAGATTGAACTAGTCATGAACGACTATATCTTACACTTCAACCTCTTCTTGCAAGTTCCTTTAGGAGATTCAAGGAGAGAATCCGGAGCTTGAAGAGGCAATGCTGCTTCCAAGATGTGCTAACCTTCTCAGTTTAGAAGGTGAACTAGTCTAAGGTTCCAAAGAAGAAGGCTCAAGGAGGCTATGAGGAGACAAATCTCCTTAGAGACTTTTGGAGAGAGAATTGGAAATCTATGCAAAAATTAATTCTCATTCAAGCCAAAAGTGAACACTGTTAAGACAGACGAAGCAATCCCCAGTAAGGTTTTAAATGAGACAAATATAATGTATATTGTTATTTCTAACAAGTGTGTCAGTGTTTCAGATAAAGACATAAGTACAGGCAAGCTGGAGAATAGAGAATATACATGTATTACCGTCTACACCAGAACCATGAGATATGAGCTAAGCACCGGATAAAGGCTGACCAAAAGAAGGAAATACATCAGATGAAGACACCCACAAACACAGACACAAAGGAATTGAAATAAAGAATAGAGCACAAGCAACCAAGATAAAAGGGAAAAACGACAAGACATCAGATGAAGAGATCAAGCAAAATCAAGTCTCTGATTCTTTAGGAAAATAATGAAGCCTCAGACGATACAAGAACAAGTCTAATAAAGAGCAAAATGAAGCTCAAAGGCCAAAGATCAAATATCAGATGTTGAATAAATAGGAGACAAAGAAATGGTTCAGAGATAGAGACTCAAGTTTTAGACGCAAATGAAGCATGATGAAAAGCGTCCAGAATTCACTAGTCACAATGAGGAAGATCATATATCATGTCCATTCATAAGAAAAACGCACGGGGTTATTAAAGATAAAAATACAAGAGCGCAAATTCATAAGTCAAAGTTGCGTGTGTCAAAGCAAGTACAAGCACTCTTCAAAGAAAGATAAAACTCGCGCAACGAAAAATGTCAGAAAAGGTACAGACACATCTAAGTCATGATTAAAGTCAGACATAAAAATAAAACAAACTATACAAAAGACTTCTCATAACCAAGAATCACCAAGTAAATATTTAATGCAAGATCAAATGCATTAAATACAAGATCTACGAAGCCTGGACAAACTAAAAAAATGAGATAATGGTTGATCAAGCATCAAGACTAGGTCTGATAAAAAATAGAAGAACAGTAACAAACACTAGATGAGGCCTACCATAAGACGAAACCTGGAAGTATGAAATGAAGAGCCAAAACAGGGCTAAACCTTAAACAAGGCAAACATGGTAGAACATTAGATGAAACCAGATGGTCAACACTGGAGAATAAACAATTAAGGCAAGGCACATCATGAGAATCAGACAAGTCGAGCTAACATAATAGAAAAAGAATAGAGTGTGCACTAGACGACTATGGATCTAATGTCAAACGAGGGTGTATCAAAAGACAAACTCGAGCGCTATAAGAAGTCAGACGAAGGGAGGTCAAGAATAAAGTCAACAACACATAAGATAAAGGACAACACAAATGGAAAGATACTTCAGACAAAGAACAAGTCTATCCATCCACAATTTTGACCATACCATAGAAGTCAAAACATCAACGTTAAATACTTAGAGTAAGAACAAGATGAGAGAGGCATGAAATCAAGAGACGCCGATGAAGACAGCCATGAAAACATTTAAAGAATCATGTCTCCAAGGACAACTCAGGCATTGTCTACAATCATATAAAAGCTCTCAACATAAGCGCATGATCAAAAAGAAGAAGAATAAGAAAAAGGAAAGAACGTAAAAGCAAGAGAATGCATGTGTCAGAAAAAGTACATTACTTTATCAGATAAGGTCAACACTCCACAACTATGTGACCAGAAAAGACAAAAAGGTTCTTAAGTCTCTGCTAAATTTAGACACTGCTGCTACCAAGGAAAATAAGATTTCACGCAAGTTCTATCACAAGAAGAAACATTTAATGCAAGAACTCAAGCATTAAATGAGAAGATTGAACTAGTCATGAACGACTATATCTGCTTCAACGGACACTTGCAACGGGAAGATTACACAAGACT